CGGATGATATGGAGGCAAACGTAGTACACAATGACCTGCTGCATTTAATATGGCATCTATATTAAATTTCTTATATTTCTCTTTATGTTTTTTGATTAAATAGTACAACTCCGGCTTGAGCATTGATTCTTTAAATTCAATTCCGTTTTCACGTAGCCAGGTTTGCATGCCTGCTTTATTTGTAGTAGAAGTTGGTGCAGCATCGAGTTGCTTGTTGTGGTACGATGCATTGGTATGCATAATTACCACTTTGATGGTTAAACCGTAGAAATATTTGTTTATGTTCTTCAGTAAGCACTTTATTAATATCGTACTTAGGTACGAGTACAAGTGATATATTATCACCATGTTCACTTTTGTTTTTCACGTAACGGCGCAATGTAGGGTACGGAAATTTACAGGTTTTGCCGCCGTCCTAATGGAGTTGCCATTTTGTACCATTTGTAAAGCTGACATCATGTCCTCTTTTATGTGTTTTTCTATTTTCCGTTCCTTATTTTTTGGTCTTAGCATTCTAGAATAAACAATTATATGATTGATTTTCAACATGGCACTATTAAGGAACAGTGAACCAGGCTCGTAAGGTACACAAACTATGTAGACGTTGTTTACTGTTCAATACACACTCTATTCAAGAAATAAAAAAAATAGTTTATACACTGAATTGTCACAACGCAATATGCTCATAAAACTACAACCATTTTGACACCATACAGCTTTTGTTCCTACCATTAATAACAAAATATACTAAAATCGAGATATTTACGTAAAAATACAACGTTTTTTTGACAAGAAACAAACAAGACGCTGTCACACGTCATGCTCAAGCCTCGGTCGCGGGCTCATTGCGGGAGAGGGGAAGGGCAACCACGAGGCATGTATTGACAAGCTCGGTCACAGTGGCAACTCCGCAGTTTTGCCGATGTCTTTTTTTGATTTCATTGTCACATTCAAAAACACATTTCGCATAGTCCGAAAGTTTCTGCAAGACGATTCCCCTAATCATCAAACTATAACTAATGATGATTCTCACTTGGCGTAAGCCCGTGAGATTCATTACACCGAAATTATATATTTCGAGAAAAAGATATAGAAATAATAATAATAATAAGCCTTTTATTCCGAACTGTATGTGTGTGTGGCTTTTAAAAAGATATGTTTTGTTTATAACAGGATGTCTCCTAGTTCGGTGTGCCTCTTGGCATAGGCCTCCTCTAACATTTTCCGTTGAGTTCGGTCACGCGCCACCCTCCTCCAATGGTGTCCAGCTGTCAGTTTTATATCATCCTCCCATCTGGCTAGTGGGTGTCCTCGTTTGCGTTTTCCGTCCCTGGGATACCAATCAGAAACAGTTTTGCTACACTTCTCTAGAGGATCTCGCATTATGTGGCCGGTCCATCTCCATTTTTGTTGGTCTATTTTTGTGATTATATCAGTTTAGTTTTTCTCTTATTGTGCTACTTCTTACCCTGTCTTGTTTCTTTATTCCTGTCAGACTTCTCTCCATGGCTCTCTGACAACGTTCCAGCTTTTCTCTGTGATATTGGTTGAGAGCCCAAGTTTCACAACCGTAAGTGATGACGGGAAGAATACATGTGTCAGAAACTTTTCTTCTTATTTGCATGCTTCATGACTTTGGGTTTTAGGACTTCTTTGAGTGACCAGTACTTCTTCCATCCATTCGCTATTATTTTGTTTATTTCCTTAGTTGTCTGATCATTGTAAAAAATTATCTGTCCTAAATAATTGTATTCTGTTACATATTCAAGAGGTTGTTTGTCAATTTCTATAGTTATTGGTTCAGAGTAAGTAAGCAATTTTGTTTTTAGTTTGTATAAACAAACTAAAATGGAACCGAATACTTCAAAAAATTAAAATTAGCTGATGGTACTATGGTTGTAAACTCGCAAAGAAAAATTGGCATCATAGGCCTAATCATTTGCTTAAAGTCGATAAAAGATCTTTGCAATTATTTGCTCGACCATGATCACCCCATAATAAGGTAATGTACATATAAATTGTCCCAGGATCATCTCGAGCTCTTTTTTGGTGCAATTAGATCAATGGGTGGCTTCTACAACAACCCTTCCGCAAAGCAATTCAGGACAGCGTATAAAAAATGGCTAGTTCACGCCGAGTCAAAAGTTGCGGAAGGAAATTGTATTCCTTTAGAAGATATACATTATGCATATTCTAAATTTTACCAAAAAATCAGAATATGTTGAAAATATAAATAATTCTCTAGCAAAACATAGAATGTTAGAAGAATTACAAGAGACGACTCAACAAAAGTACTTAAATAATGATGATCATTGTTACATGAATGACCCAAGCCAACTGACAGAATATGTTCAAGAAATAATTTATTACATATCGGGGTTTGTGGTCAAAAGCTACAAAAACAATTTTTTTGCGAAGATTGCTTAACAACAGCATTACAAGGCACCAAAAAAAGATTCATTGACATCTTTCAAAGATAACGGGGGCTTAGTATATCCAAGTAATGACGTTTATTTCATATGCAAATTATGTCAAAAATTTTTGCGTAAATCTTTGATATGTGACCACTATAGTAAACTCAATAACAAATATACATTTAAAATGATATGTGACGTAATACTGCAAGTAATGCAATCAACTAACTATGCAAATGTAACTGCAGATGACTATGCCAGCCATTAACAAAGGAAAGAAAGGTCTAGGGAAGAGATACATAATGATAAAGAACATCTGAGGCTAACACTTTCGTGTACACTATGGATGTGCAAGCGGTGCTCTTGTGTCCTACAATGCAAGCATCAGCCACCTATTATAAAACAAAGCTAAAAGTTCATAATTATACGCATTACAATTTGAAGACAAAGGAAATGTTCTGCTATCTGTGGCATGAGGGTAACGGTGTTCTAGACAGTAATATATTTGCATCCATTTTACCAAACATTTAAAATCTGAGCAAGAGAAGTCAAATGCCTCCAAAATCATCTTGTGGAGTGACGGATGTTGCTATCAAAACTGGTCTGTGAAATTGGCAAATGCGCTGCTAGAATTGGTAATTGAAAAAAACATTATTATTGAGCAAAAAAAACCTGAAGTCGGCCACACCCAAATGGAGGTGGACTTGATCCACAGTACCATAGAAAGAAAATTACCGCCACATAAGGAAATATTTATCCTTGTCGGCTACCTAAATATCATAAAAAGCGCCAGAAAAAAAAACTATACAAAGTTATTTTCTTAAATTATGACGACTTTCTAAAATATGATGGCGGAAAATATACCAGCATTAGACCTGGAAACAAGAAAGTTGATCTTGTGGTTACCGATATTTGCGCCTTACAATACTTGCCAGAAGGAAAAATTAAATATAGGATCAATTTCGAGCATGATTATGAGTATTTGCCACGGCGAAACATAAACATCTTGAACTCTAGGTTAATCTATGACAGCCATATAATCAAAACAAATTGATAGAATTTTCTCATTTTGTTGTGACAACTGGGTGCACTACTGGATTTTTTTATAAAACTTCTTATTCCGGGTTAGATGCACCAGAAGTTCCTCAGCATAAGTACTTTTCACATTGTCATTTAAAAATTTGGTTTTTAGTGTCTCACATTTTGTGCATGCATCGACTAAAGGTCGACCAAAAGACAAATTAAAATTAGTTTTAAAGTACTGCCAGTAGAACTGATACTTAATATCCAGCTTAGGATATTTCTGTGCGAAGAGTCGGTGTATTTCTCTAACTGATAGGTCAGCTGATAAATAGAAATATGTCTCTGATAAATAGTGGGATTCCTTAGTGGGAAATGATGTGATGTGGTCATGTATCTTTTGACACACCTCAGCAGAATTCATGAATTCTGTATGGTTTTTTGCAGGAACATATCGTCCTTTTTAATTCCAATGACTATCGTCAGAGACCCTCGGAATTCTTTATCTTGTTTCGTTTATAAGTTTATGTTGTCTTCTTCGTGACGGACACCTTTTTTCCTTTTTCTTTCACTCATTTTTACGATTTATTAATTTAATGAGCGAATAAAACGACGGGCGACGTGACATTGGCAGTTGATAATAATATACGGTACATGTCCTTGGACAAGTGGCTTTTTAATATTTAAACGTATATTCACAACCATGTAATTATATGATTCGAGCTCGGACAAGTGCCGTATTAATACAAACTATGTAAATAGACGTTCCCAAGCGATAGAGACGAAAAAAAATTCTGATAATAAAGTGACAAGAGCCCTTTTAGTAATTAGACATTCATATAGTTTTTGCCTGCTGTTGAAGATGCCAGGAGTTGTCCATTCACTAAATGAAAAGAGACCCCCTGAATTGACTGTTTTAGAAGTAAATATTGTAGAAAATTCTGTTTATATTAATTTAAATAAAGAATTATATAAGAAGTTGGGGTCATGGCTGTAGGATAAATAAGGAAGTTTTGCTGCAATATTATCTTTGAACTTCTCCATACGTGTAGTGCTTATAGGGACAAAAGCCTTTTTAACATTTTTTTATTGGTATTTAAAGTATAAGAAAATGAAGCTAACTGACCACAATGGTCTGAGATCAATATGTTTATAATAGATTTAGAGGTTGGTTTACAATTTGTGAATATATTGTCAATACATGTAGCACTGGTAGCAGTGGTTCTAGTTGGTTTAAGAAATAAATTATTCAGGTTATATGATAGAGGCATGGATTTAAATCTGAGACTTATAGTAGAATTATCTAATAAGTTTATATTAAAATCCTCATTAACAACAATGAATTTATTAGAACTATTTAATTATATAAGGTTTCGGACGTAATAGTAATATAGTTCATTGGTGGGATTACTAGAAGCGATAAGAAGTTCTTCAAAGAAGGTATCTTTGATAAAGAAGGTATAATATCTTTAACAACTGAATTGGCCGTGCATCATTATACAGACTCTGATATAATTTTATCTAGCTTGAAACTAGCTTTACGAGAGCTAAAAATAAAATATAACTATGGCACAGAGTCAAGTAGCACCCGCTCAGATTCCACAGAGTGAGATAGATAGTATCTTAGTAAAAGAAGGAATTGCACCATTGCAACTTGCAACAGCTACAATTTTCAAGACATATCAATGTACTGAGATAACTCCTGATGATGTCAAGCGTGAATATGGGTCGGCTGAATTTAATTTCTCAGTCCTTGAAACAAATTTTGCAACTCATTGCAAAGATTACAACGACCTAATATCAGAAAAGGCTTCTGTGGCAATAGAATTTGCCATAAAAGTGATATTTGAATCTGGACCTCAGTTGAGGACTGAAAAGAAATCAAAAGGGGATAAAGTAGTTAAATTTAACTTTTATTTTATATTAAAATCAGTGGTAATAGACTCTTAAAAATTAACCTCATCAAAAGCTCTGCAAGCTTCAAAAGCGCTGCAAGCCCTTTATTTTTGAATGTTGTGGGATAGAAATCTTAAGTCTTAATATCATTATTATCTCTGTATATAGAACTCCATCTTCTAACGTGTCATACTTTTTAGAACATCTTGAAAATTTACTGCACGTGATCTCACGTAAATACAAAAAAAAATAGTTGTGTGTGGGGACATAAACATAGACATATTAAAAACAACTAATGAATCTAATGATCTATCGGCAATTTTAAAAAATTATAATCTAAAAAATCATATTCTTAAACCAACACGAAATAACAGTTGCTTAGATCTCATCATCAGCAACTTTCATGACGCAAATGCGGATATACATCCTTTGGCTTTATCTGACCATGAAACCGCCCAGAGTCTGACAGTTAGGGTAGATATTAACCCAAAGTATAAACCATTGCCTACGTATTGGTTTGAATATAGGAGAGACTTCAGTAGCGATAATATGAGAAAATTTAGAAATAGTATATCAGCTCTATCATTCTACAATATATTATAAGAATCAGATACTGAACTTGCTTTTACTGAGTTCCATGAATTGCTGATTCTATTCTTTAACTTATGTTTTCCCTTAATAAGATATAAAGTAACTCGGAAACCACTAAAGAATAAATGGCTTACAAGAGGGATAAGGAGAAGCTGTATAATAAAGCGGAAAATGTATATAACATATCGATTGAACCCACGTAACAAAAATTATAATAAAATAAAGTACAATAAATACAGTAACATTTTAAAAAAGTGTGTATTAATGGCGCAATAACTCGGCACTACTAATATATATAACAAATTCTGACAATAAATGTATAGCATCATGGAACATTATTAAAAATACATTCGAAAACACACGAAAACAAAACGAAATTGAAGAGATATGTGTAGATAAAAATTATATTAATGACCCCAATTTGATTAGTGAATATCTAAATAATTATTTTATAAATTTGACAAATACTAACACAAATAAAGTGACATATAAAAATAAAATACCATCCAATAGTAATAGCATTTTCTTGACACCAATAAATAAATTTGACATTCTAAAAGTAATTACATCATTAAGAAATACTAACTCCACAGGATATGACATGCTTAATACAAAACTTATCAAACAATGTGCTCTGACCTTGGCTAATCCTCTTGCTCACCTAATTAATACTTCCTTTTTGGAAGGCAAGTTTCCATCACTTTAAAAAAAAATCAATTGTGAAACCTATCTTCAAAAAAGGTGATGTAAAGAACCCTGAGAATTATAGACCCATTACACCAATACCAGTCGTCTCAAAAATTTTCGAAAAAGTAATGCATAATAAAATTTATGATTTCTTGTGTAAATACCATATATTAAAAGAATCACAATTTGGTTTTAAAAAAGGGAGCTCTACCACACTAGCCTGTTTCACGCTTATTAAAAATGTAACCGAATGTCTAAATAAAAACATTTATCCTTTATCGCTTTTTCTAGACATGATAAAGGCATTCGACTTCGTATCTCATTCAGTATTGCTAGAAAAATTGTATAAATATGGTATAAGAGGACAGGCATTTGAATGGATAAAAAGCTATCTTAGTAATCGTACTCAATGTGTAGAAATAATAAAAACTTGTGATGATTTTAAAAAAACATTCCAATCTACCTATCGTCACAATTCATTTGGAGTACCCCAAGGAAGTATCTTAGGGCCTTTATTATTTCTCATATACATAAATGATATGCCTGACGTCATCAAGCATAAATGTATTTTGTTTGCTGACGACACTACAATTACTGTCTGTTGCAAGAATTTAGATGAGACTAAGAATGAAACTAATTCATCTTTAAAAAAAACCTTTGACTGGCTAATACAAAATAATTTAAAAATTAATTTGAAAAAGACGAAAGCAATTCAGTTTGAAACTAGAAATAGTAATATTAAAAAAATTGACATTAATAACAACGAAAATAAAATTGAAATAGTCGACTCGACGGTATTCTTAGGTATTACAATAGACAAACAATGCAACTGGAAAGAACACATCAATAACTTATGTGATAAACTAGATAAATTTATTTTCGTTCTAAAGAGATTACACAGAATAGGAACTTTAGAAGCAGGTTTATTGGCATATCATGGGTATGTCTCATCAAACCTTAGATATGGTTTGATTTTTTGGGGCAATTCTGTAGATGCAAACAAAGCATTCAAAATACAAAAAAAAGCGTAAGATCGTTGTGTGGTGCTCACTATTTGGACAGTTGCAAGCCTCTTTTCAAATTACTAAAAATTCTTCCTCTGCCTTGCTTATACATATTCGAAATATGTTTATTTGTAAAGAAATATCCATCCTTCAAAAAAAATCAAGAAATTATACCAAGATCCACAAGGTACTTTAATAAACTTTATATACCATATCAAAAGTTAATAGTATTTTCCAAAAATGTATATTGTATGGCAATTGTAATATATAACAAAGTACCAGATGATCTCAAGAAATTACCATTTAAATTATTTAAAAAGAAATTGTTTGATTTATTATTAGAAAAATTATTTTATAATGTTAATGACTATCTTATTTGTGGAGTTTGAAATGATATGACATAGTTATAAATTATTATTATTATTATTATTATTATTCTCTATATATATATAATATAAACTTGACATTAACTTTTGATTTTGACATAACATAGAAATAATTTTTAAATAATTAAGTTCAATTTATATAAATATTTGCACACTCTTTATGAGTAGAATATGTATGAACTTAACTGTAAACCATAAGAACATTGTAAATACCATATTCTGAGCAAATAAAGAATTATTATTATTATTATTATAGAATTTGCGAAAATAAGTTAAAGTTAAAAGTTGGACTTAGAATAAATTTAAGAAAAGTGACAATACGGGGAACCCATGCTCGATTATAGTGCAGTGCAAAGGTGATACCAAACACTTGTAAAAATTTAAAACTCTTTTGGACTTTAAATTTTTTTAATTAAAAAATAAAATTTAAAAATGAAATCATTGATAAAGGTGCAATATAATTGTAATAAAACTATAAAAATAGCAAAAATAAATTTCAAAAAATCACCGAAGGAACGTTTAACTCCTACTTATATTGAAACGCGACTCGAGGCTTTGGAATCACAGTGGTCCGTATTTGTAGAAAATAATAATAAACTTATTGCAAATTATGACTTGGATAATACGGATTATTATAAGAGTGATGTGTTTGAAGTTACAGAGGAATTATATTTTGATTATAAGTCTGAATTAAAGGATGTTTTAAAGAGTTTAGTTCGTAGAGTGTACATTGAAATTAGCTAAAAAAGACGAACAAAATATATGCAATGTTAAATTACCAAAAATATCATTACCTATATTTTCCGGTAACTATAGTGAGTGGATTAGTTTTCGTGACTTATTTTTGTCTCTTACTCATAATAAATGATTTAGATGATGTTCAAAGATTACAATATTTAAAGGGCCATCTCACAGGCTAAGCTGAAAAATTATTACGTTATGTGCCTATTACATCCGATAATTATTGTACTTGTTGGACACAGCTAGAACATAGATATAATAACAAAAGGTATCTGGCAAATTGTATTTTGAGAAGGCCTATTAATCAAAAGAACATTACAGTAGAGACTTCTAATGCTATTAAGGAATTATTAGACACCACTAACGAATGTTTAAATGTATTGAGAAACTTAGATATAGATATCAGTAGTTGGGATGTTATTATTATTTATATGATTAGCCAAAAACTCGATCCACAGTCCAGAAAAGAATGGGAACTCTACATAGGAGATGTTTCACAAGAATTACCTAAACTAAGCCAATTTAATGATGTTTTTGGAACATAGATATAGGGCATTAGAGTTTATAGATCCAAAAATGAATAAGCAATACACTCGTAATAATGATATAAAGGCACTTTTTGTCTCTAATGCAATCACTTGTGGTTAATGTTCTGGAGACCATAAATTATATGACAAAGGACGAACAGAAATATTGTCATTAAAAACGACGTCAGCATTGCTGACGTCACTTACCTTGTTGTTTTCGTTCATTTTTAATTTAAATAAATTTAAAGATAATTAAAATCAACTAGAGATCAAAATGATAAGTCGTTTTACTTACTATTATAATTTTTACTAATCACTTTAAACTAACAAACCAATTAATAATAACCAAATTAACACTATAATTATTTAAACCTATCCTAAATACTTATCTGCTAGCTTAAGTAAAAACAGCCAGTCCTCTATACCAGGTAAACGCCCGAGCAAAAGTGAAGTGCGACCCATCGTCCACCCTCCTCTTGGTCGGCCGCTTTCCCGCGATATTAGCTTAAACATAGCGCCCTCTTTTTTCGGAAGTACTATGTCCAAACTTTACAATTGTAAAACTATTGATAAATTAATATACCATAAAATAAGAGGAAATACGAACTTAATAATTTATTATTTTAATTTTAACATTTATGAGCTTATAATATTATTGATAATTTAATTTACCATAAAATAACAGGAAATCAAAAACAATAACAACAATTGAAAACGCTACAACTTATTTAAATATGAAAAGTTACTTTAGAAATTGAATTTATTATTATTTATTATAATTTTAAATTATGAATTTATTCTAAATAAGATTAATTAACGGCGTCACGCCGATAAATATTATTGATAATTTAATTTACCATAAAATAACAGGAAATCAAAAACAATAGTTATTTAACAACAATTGAAAACGCTAAAACTTATTTAAATATGAAAAGTTACTTTAGAAATTGATTTTTTTATTATTTATTATAATTTTAAATTATGAATTTATTCTAATTATGATTAATTAACGGCGTCACGCCGATATATATAATTGTAAATAGTTTGCTAATGAGGATGTTCACTCACGTCGTAATTTTGTCCAACTTAAAAGGTTATGTTTTAATTGTCTCGGATTGAATCACTCGCTATATTCGTGTCGACAGTCTACCAGATGTCGTATATGTAAGAGAAAACACCATTCTCTTCTGCATACTACTGAATCTTCTTAATCAGATGAGGATGTTTTATACAATAATTATTTATCTGTGTCACTGTCAAGTAGTTTTGTAATCTATGGCTTCCACTCTTATAAGGAATAAAATGGGTTGCTATAATTTTCAGTAGTTTCAATTATTAAATATAACATGGCGCAGCCGTCGAAAAGTCGACAACAGTAATTTTGTAAGTTCATAAATATATGTGATTTCGAGTTTCGTATAATTATGGAGAATAAAGTTAAGTTGTTACCCAACTTTGATCTGCGAGCGAGTGGTGCCGCCGCAGAGTGGCAAGTATGGCGGACATGTTTCGAGGGTTATCTAGTTTCAACTAGGCAAGATGGGGCAAGTGATAAAATTCGCCTTGCTTTGTTGCGGAATATGCTGGGTATGGAATCTGCACGAGTTTTGTTAACCTTGCGGATACCAACAGACAAGGCAGGTGTGTATGAAGCGGTTATAAACGCCATAGATAAATATGTAAGCCCCAGAGTAAACCAAGTGTTTGAAAGGTTCAAATTCAATGATAGAAAGCAAAAAGAAGGTGAAAGTTTTGACCACTTCCTCACAGACCTAAAACAATTGTTATTAAATTGTAACTTTAGTGACAAGTCAGAGCCAATTGAGGATCAATTATTGCGAGACAAAATAGTACAAGGTGTCTATGACAAGCGCGTTCAGGAACAACTACTGCGCTTGGATGGCATGACATTGGAGAAAGCTGCAAATTTCTGTAGAACATCAGAGCAGAGTAAACTACAGGTCAAAGAAATGAACCCAACATGTGAGGTTGATGCAAATAAATATAAAAAGAAACCTAAGTCTACAGGTAAATTTAAGTGTCGCCGATGCCAGAATCTCCATGGTCCAAGGGAATGTCTAGCTTTTGGGAAAGTGTGCAAGAAGTGTGGATTAAAAAATCATTTTGCTATCAGCTGTAGAGTAAAGAAAAATGTTAAGTTAGTTAGGTGTCAAAGTGAGAGTAATTCTGAAAGTGGTGATGATAATTTGTATTGTAATATGGTACTGTCCCAGTCTAAGTCCAAGTCGGAGTGGGTAGAAACTATACTGATTGAGAATTTACCAATTAAGTGCAAATTAGACACTGGCGCGGACATTAGCATTATGCCGTTAAGTATTTTTCAACAGATTAATGAAAAGTTAAGTTTAAAACCTATAAAAACAAATATACAGTTAGTATCTTTTGAGGGCAGTAAGGTGTCACCTGTGGGCATGGTAAATTTAATGTGTAAGTATAAAAATGAAAAGTGTTTTGAAAATTTTGTTATTGTTGATTGTCATTCTATGCTCCTAGGTTTACCTGGATGTATTTCTCTAAATTTAATCAAGAGAGTACATAGTGCTGAGAGAAGTCCGGTCTCATTGAAAGATAAGTTTGTATCTGAGCACAAAAATGTATTTCAGGGTATTGGTAAGTTACCTGGTACTTTTAGTATAACCACTAAGCCTTTTGCTGAACAAATTTGTCATCCACCTTCAAGAATACCTAATTGTCTTTTAGATGCGTTAAAGTGTGAACTGAATAGACTTGAAAGTAGGAAGTCAATTGTAAAGGTTGATAACCTAAATGAAAATGCTTGTATTAACCGTATTGTGTTGGTAGAGAAGCTTAACAAAAAGATTAGACTTTGCTTAGATCCATCTGATCTAAATAAATATATTATAAAAAAACCTAAGTCTTTGCCAATATTAGAAGAGCTTGCTTTGAAGTTGAATGGTAAGAAATATTTCATCACTTAAGTTTGGATGAAAATTCATCATGGAAATGTTGTTTTTCTACTCCTTTTGGTGTCTATAGATATTTAGTGTTGCCCTACGGGTTAATGAATGCACCCGAATTGTTTCAAGATGTACTTGAAACCTATTTTAACAAATTCAAAAATGTAGTTGTGTGGGCTGATGATATATTAATTATGGGAAATTCAATACAAGAACATGATAAAGCTTTACTAAGTGTGATGAATAAAGCTAAGGAGATAGGAATTGTGTTTAATGAGAAAAAGTTTCAGTATAGACAGCGCGAAGTGAAATATGTGGGTCAAATTTTTAATGAACATGGTATGTCAATTGATAAATCTAGAGTTGAGTCATTGTTAAAGTTAAAAACACCAACTAATAGGGATGAATTATTGAAAATTATTGGATCATTAAACTATGTTAGACGTTATGTTCCAGAAATGGCAGAGTTAATGTCCCCTCTGTGTAAATTATTAAAAAAGATGTAGAGTTTTTGTGGTTACCTTTACATGATGAAGTATTTGCTAAAATAAAAGAGAAAATTAGTTGTGCTCCAGCACTTTATCCATTTGATACTAAAAAGAAAATTATATTGCAGTGTAATGCATCAAGTAAAGCGTTAGGTTGTTGCTTGTTCCAGCCAGATGATTCTGGTAATTTAGGATTAGTAGCTTGTGTATCAAGATCTATGAACAATTTTGAGTTGAATTATGGTCAAACTGAGAAAGAGTACCAAAATAAATTGCTTGCAATTTATTTTGGTACTCAAAAATTTCATTAATATATCTATGGTTCAGATGTTGATGTACAAACTGATCATAAACCCATTGTATCTATTATGAGTAAACAAATAAGTAAGATTGGATCACCTAGACTGAAAAGGTTAAGATTGAAACAGTTAATTTATAACTTAAATATGTGCCTGGTAAATATGTACATTTTGCGGATATGTTATCCAGAAATAGTTTGAATGTAACTGAGGTTGACAAGGAAATGTTGCAGATGGTACATACCATTTCTAAACATTTACCTATGTCGGATTCTAGAAAGGCTATTTTCCGTAGTGAAACAAATTCAGATCCGGTTCTGTCAAAAGTATGTTATTATTTCTATCATGGGTGGCCTAAGAAATTAAATAAGACATTGAAACATTTTGCTAAACTAAAAAATCAGTTATTTATTCAAGATGGATTTTTGTTTTTGGAAACAGAATAGTAGTTCCAAATACATTGCGTTCATATGTTATCAAATTGGTACATGAAGGCTATTTGGGGATCATCAAGTGCATTACTAAAGCCCGACAATTATTTTATTGGCCAAGTTTATCCTCTGATATTCAGGATTTTATATCTAAGTGTCGGACTTGTGAAAAATTCAGTCCTGCTAATGTGCATGAGCCATTAGTACCACATGATATACCTAAGTATAGATATTATAAGGTAGGTATGGATATCATGGAATATGCAGGCCAGGCTTATCTAGTAGTCATTGATTACCTATCACACTGGATAGAGGTAAGGCCTATAAAAGATAAAACTTCAAAATCTGTTATAGATGCATGTCAAGATATATTCAGTCGACTGGGTTACCCCTGTATAATTATTGCAGATAACAATCCATTTAACTCTCAAGAGTGTCGTGAATATTATAAAAAACGGACATGGATATTGTTATCAGTAGTCCTTATTATCCCAGAAGCAATGGCTTAGCTGAGAAAGCTGTTAATATAAGTAAAAATTTGGTGAAAAAATCTTTTGAGGATGGTAAGGATTACCGTGACTTTCTTACGAGTTATAATAATAGTGTTTTGTCTGGTTTATCTGTCTCTGCTTCACAGATTTTAAATAGTAGAAATCTAAGATCAGGTAGGTATTCCTGTAACTTCATCATATTTAGAACCAAAAATTGTTACAAATATACATAAATTGTTAACTTTAAAGCTAAAAACTACTAAGCTTCAACATGATAAGCATTCTAAAAGTAAAGAAGTAGTGTATAAACCTGGTGATAAAATTGTATACAGAACTGATAAAGATAAAAATTGGAAAAAAGGATTTGTAGTTAAGAAAAGTAAAGAACCTAGATCATATTGGATTAGGACTGATTGTAACTCAAAACCACTTAGAAGAAATAGCCATCACTTGAGAAAGACTTTTACTGATTGTAATTTATTAAAAAGGGATTTTTTGCCATTTGAATATAATGAGGAGCCTAAAGTGTTGCCACAAACCAAAGTGCTGCCTTATAAAACTAGGAGTGGGCGTACAATCAAACCCATACAAAGGTTAGATTTGTAAATTTAAAATTTTTGTAAGTAAATAGTTATTTAGTATTTAACTCTCTACTTTCATTTTAGAGGGGAGGTGTTTTATACAATAATTATTTATATGTGTCACTGTCAAGTAGTTTTGTAATCTATGGCTTCCACTCTTATAAGGAATAAAATGGGTTGCTATAATTTTCAGTAGTTTCAATTATTAAATATAACAGAGGAGATCAAAGCTGTTAAGTCAGTAAGCGAAGTTTTATCAACCTCCTCACAAAGCGAGACCAATAACGTAATTTCTTGCCATTCGGATATTTTTAGCCAAGTTTTACTTGCAACTGCTATGGTAAAAATTAAGGCGAGGAAAGGTAATTTTATACTGTTTAGGTATTTATTAGATCAAGGATCGCAGGCGTCATTTATTACTGAAGCTGCAGTCCAAATGTTAGCGTTAAGAAAAATACCTAATAGGAGTATCATATCAGGGATAGGTGGAAATGAAGAATTTAAACTTTCTTCAAAATCAATAGTAATAGTAAATATACAGTCCCGCACTAATCCTAATTTTATTATCACGGTTAAAGCTGATGTTCTGAGTAAATTGACCGCTCTTCTTCCAGAGAAAAATGTCACTGTGTCACACAATAGCTTCAATTTTATTTTATTTTTTAATATTCAAATTTAAACACTTACGTAGTTAAAGTGTGCATTAAATTATTAATGATAATCATATCTTAACCTATTTTCCTGAGGCGATTTAGTTAAATAAGGTAAACAATAAGATCTTATTTATATTTAATTGTTGCAATTTATTTAAAACCTTTTCCATTGAACTCTTGTTTACACTACCCCTTCTCCCAATTAATATAATATACAATAGAATATATCTTTATTGACACAATTCTTAGTTTTTACATAAGAATGTTGAAGCCTCTGAAAACTAGAATAAACCTGTATGTCAGGAGTCAGCGCCCTCTTCCATCTTTAATCTTAATTGGAGGTCAATAATAGTGAGCCTCATTCAAGATGTTATTTAATAATAATAAAAAGTTCTTTATTTCCAAAAGGTAATACATCCAGATATTTGCTTAACACTTACTAAATCTAATTTTGTACACACAAATATTTAAAACATAGCATCTGCAGCCGAACTAGGAGACCTGTGCATCAGCTGTCAGCGCCATATCCCCACGGTTAGGTTACATAACTATTACCAAAAAAATAAAGAATAAAATATCAACTAAAGATAATAATTAATATTTCTAAATATGTCGTTCCTCTCTCTTAAGACGTGTAATGCATGACTGTAAGAAGTATTTGTGTAATGAGTGTAATGTGTGTGAGCAATTAAAGGAGAGGACTGTGTAATGTGTGTGCGCGTGTGTGTGCCTGGGTATTATTATTTTTACATAGGCATTATTGCAGGATCAAGTTACATAATAAAAATTATGATAAATCTGAATACTAAGAAGATTTTCAGTTTCAGCATAAGTTAATTTTTGCAGGTAAGCAAATACAGTTTTTTTACAGTTTATTTAATTAAGGTAGTAAATGTCTAATGTTTTGTTTAGTTTATTATATAAGTGTGATCTTAAAAATGCAAAGAATCTTCTTATAAAAGTTGTTTTAAAATTAGTTGTATCTACAGAAAATTTTCTGCGATTATTTAAGTTCGTTGGGTCATATACTCGTAGCAATAAACTACAGCAATGGCGTGCAAAAAAATCGGGCCACCTAGAGAAAATGGACAAACTTAAGATATGATATTTTTTTATTAATTTTATTATAATATATGAGTAGCTGTATACCCTAGGTACCTAAATCAATAATCGTTGAATAATTTAAATAAAAATTATTGCTCGAAAATAGAGGAAAATGAAATTTAATGATTTTTCGCAAGTTTGGTATAAAAATGTAAGCGGCAAATTAATGGGAAAATTAAAAGATTTCGATTGGTTTTATGATTTTTAATAATGCGTATTACCGCCTCTATTTTTAATTACAGCTTTTAATCGGTTTTTCAGAGATTTGACACACTTTTTTAGATAATCTTTATTTATTTATTATATAGGAAGCCAACATAGTATACAGTGCTTTTGATCTTGTGTAATAGACTCCCATTCTTCCAATAAAGCGCTTTTTAATTCTTGAATGTTGCTCGGGACTACTACGCGACTTCTAACTTTTCTTTTGAGATGGTTCCATACATGCTCTATCGGATTGAGGTCAGGGCTTCACGCTGGCCAGGCAATAGTAGACACTCCGACCTCTTGAAGATACTGCCTTACTGATGTAGCAGTGTTTGGGCGAGAATTATCTTGTAGAAGCAGAAAATCTTCTCCAATGAACTCAGTAAAAGACATCACATGATCTTCTAAAACCTCCGTTATATACCTATCGGCTGATCCATTTTCTATGAATATAAGCTCGGTTTTCGCTTCGTAACAGAATCCTGCCCAAAACATAACTGAGCCCCCTCCATATGACACTGTTTCCCGCATAGTGCATGGTGCATATCTTTCACCTGGTCGCCGGTAAACAAAATTACGGCCATCGGCATCATGCAAACACATTCTGCTTTCGTCAGTAATAAGAACCTTCTTCCACTGCTCCAAATTCCAATTCACGTGATCTCGGGCAAAAAGTAATCTTGCAATTCGATGTGCAGGGGTGAGTTTGGGGCCAGTTGCGGACTTGCGTGGCGTCAGGGAAGCGGCTCTAAGTCGGCGCCTTACTGTCCACTCGCTAACATTAACACCTCTCACTTCTCTCAGGAGATTTCGAACGTGGACCCCTGTGCGATGACGATTTCTTAGAGCTGATGACACAATAAATCGATCATCACGCTCTGATGATGTCGGCCGGAACCATGTCGTCGTACAAAGCCACCAGTCTCTATGTAACTTTTGTACACTCTCTGGACCGTAGAACGGCTCACAGAAAAAGCTTGAGCCACTTGACGTTGACTTTGTCCAGTTTCAAGCAAAGTCACAATTCGAGATGATTCAGCCTCGGTCAGATCCATCTTGCAGTATTTCTAATAATCGCAGATCAAAGTAGAAGTGTCTTGTTTAATAATTGGAACTCAACTAAGCTTCTAAAATAACAAAAAACAGTATTTGTGGATTCAATCCATATTATGCAAATATTCACTAATTACTGCTAATTGACTATAATTAAGCGCACACGTGCATTTCCAGGAATTTTATGACTTTTTGAAGGATACAAAGGCATCTAATCTCCTTAATTACCTTTGCGGTATTTTTTTTCACCAAACAATTGTCAACAAAAAATTACGCTTAAAATTAAGGGTGGCCCGATTTTTTTGCACGCCAGTGTATGTTGTTTTTGAAAGATCGCTAGTATAAACAGTTGTCTTACCGTAAGGACCTGTCAGTTATTAGAGCTGTGATGTGGGGTACAGAAAAGTTTTAAATGTTGCTACTTTGAGATTAGCATATTAAGCGATTTCGATCTTTTGTAATACCGTTTTAGAAGTACCACCGCACGTTGATATGCAGTACGTTATAATAGACTGACATAAAGCTAAGTAAACTCGTTTTAATATATTCGGATCCAAAACGTGTCTAATGGCTTTAAAAATATATATTAATTTATGAGTTCTTCTACTAAGTGTGTATATGTTGTTTAAAATTTAAATTACTATCTATTTTTGCCCCTAAATATTTAATATAATCAACAGATTCAAGTTACAGGCAGAAAAAGCTATTGTCCTTAGTTAAACAATTATATGAATTTACTATATGATTATAAGTGGCTCCGGGCGTGCGATGATTGATAACTCACTGGCCTCCACAAAAGTTATTTAATAATACACGCATATCCCTAACTCAACGCTATAAATTTTATTTATTTATTTACACTTTATTGTACACCACAATCATGAAGTAAATACAGTTAACAAAATATAGAACAAAACCAAAAGTGTGAACAAAAGGCGGTCTTATCGCTAATTAGCGATTTCTTACAGACAAACTTTGGGTGAGGATATGGAAGACTATACAGGGTGAGTGGTGTAAATATTAAATATTATATACAATAGATATCATGATTCAACCTAATATTAGAAATACTACACACATATATATATATATATATATAATATAACTCTATAAATTACACTAATACATATTTAAATTATAATTAATATAAATGATTGTACAATGTCGACTTTTTATATAGAGAAATGATGTAGAAAATTATTATGAACAGGTTTTTTAAATATTTTTAATGTTTTAGAAATATAAGTATATTTTTTCTTAGAAAGAGATTGCGAAGATACATTTTAATATTTATATTTGGGGTCGGTGTGAGTTCCTACAGGCTGAGTCAGGGAGTTATTAATTAAGCTAGTATTTGACTGCCTTGAAGTACCTGAAGGTGAAAGGTGGCATTCACAAGTATGGTCTTTAACAAATGAGTTAAACCGCTCAAGGTTATTATTACTAAGTTTCACCAGTAAGGTCGTCCATGGCAGATATGTGATCAGCAATTTCTATCTGAGCAGTATTGTATTTACTGGTTAATTTGTCTAAGCTATATTTCAAATACGTAATCTCAGACTGCAGTGTGCTGACATCGACTACATAGTCATTTTTAAAAATATTAATATCTTAACAATAAGATATCATTTTTGTTCTTAGTGCTATTTTCTCTTTACAAATGTTATTATATTTTTTATGTATATTTTTTATTATGATAATTATATTTCATTCATAATTCTACTGTTTTTTTCTTTTCAAGTATACTAATTAGTAATTATATTTTAGAACTAATGAAATAGTAGAAAAATAATATTTAAAAAAATAATAGCTTTTGTTTGCCATACAAAACCTCATTGACCTACCCCTGCAGTATTATAATCTAAATCAAATAACTTTTGAACCTACCTACATAAATCCAATTTTTAGACATAAAATATCTTATAATACTTCCTTAAATTTAAAATGAAATATCTTAGTTAATATATGCTTTTGTTGATAAAATGCTTTATTTTAGTTTTGAATA